ATATCCACTCAATGCCATGTTCTTTTGCCCAGGTGTTTATAAGATTATTTCGAAAACGAGTACCATTATCTGACTCGATTCTATCTGGGGTGCCATGCCACCACAGGACTTGTTTTTCAAGTCCCAGAATAGTGTTCCGAGCAGTGGCATGGGGCACAGCATATGTTTCCAGCCATCGAGTAATTGCTTCTACCATTCTGAGCGATCGGTCAAATGCCTGTGACGCGTCATCTGTCACACGGAGATCCTTCGGCTAGGTGAACATGATAAAAGCCTCCCCGGAAATGCGTATGTGGAGAGGCTCCATGTCAAATTGAGAGACTCCTAATCGGAAGCCCTTATCCTTCAACATTAAGGTCCTCTGAAAAAGAACAAACTAGCTGAAGGTAGGCGGGATGTAAGAAAGCACAGACGTAAACCGAAGAAAGGCCGATTCTAAAACCTAGACAAAGTTCAAGAAAGGATCCTCTCCAGAAACCCCTATAGGCCGAGTATCTCCATGGAAGCCCCTCAGGGACCTAAATCGCACAGGTAATAATTATATAACTACGATGATGAGTTAATGAATAGGCACTTAACGGGACGATAGGAGCTGTTGGAGAATGGCTCAGAGACAAGGGTCCTGAGCCCACCGAGCAATTGTATGATCAGAGCCTGCTCTAGCTGCTGATGCTGAGCCTCACTAGGGTTTGCCTGCAGCTGCTCGCAGCTGCTGATACATGAGGAATGTCAAGGACGCTTCGGCCTTGTGTACCGTGGTGTGTCGAAAACAGGTTAAGGGGAATTAGGAATAGTGGTCTGAGAAATCTAGTGTTATGATAACGGTGGTCTGAGAAACATTGTGTTATGGTACTGTTGTGTATCGAAAACAAGTCAAGAGGAATTAGAAATAGTAGCATGAGAAACTTAGTGTTATGAGAAACTTGTGCTGTAAGCTAACTGCAAGTAGGTGGACCGTGCGAATACGACCCTTAGAGCTTTAAGCCAATCAGTTAGTGACTAGTAGGCATAATTAGTAGAAGGATTATAAAAAGCTGTAACAAAAATCAATAAACTGAAGCATGCTTTATCACTCATACTGAGTCGGCTGCATTCTTCCTCCTTGGCCTGCGTCCTCAGCTCGCCCAGCCCGGCAATTGGCGCCCGAACAGGGACCCTCGAGAAAAAGGGTCAACCGGGAATAAAGGGACTCTCGAGAAAAAAGGGACCCTCGTTGAAGCGAGAATAAAGGGATCCTCGAGACGAAAGGACCCTCGTGAAAAAAGGACCTGGCTGAAGGAAAAGGAGCAGTGTGCCGGGGGCAGCGACCGGCGGGCAAAGAGCGACCGAACACTGAGTCCATCGCATCTTGGTGTGTCGTCTCCGGCCTGAACCGATTGAAGTTCACCACTGCAAGGGCTACAAGCTGAGGGCTGCAAGGATATTATAACAGGTATTAAGGTACATGGATTTTGAAGTAGCCCTTGATTTATTACAGAGCTTTTTAGAAAAGCGGGGGACAGATAATAGTTGCATTAAACAGCTAGCTGGTCTAGTGGCAACAGGGAAAGCAAAGGGGTGCTTTAAGGACTCTGATCTGTTGTTTGATGAAGGGGAATGGAGGAGATATATACTGTGGGATATGGTGACAGATGATGATAAACTTCCTAAGAAATTAATGAAACCTTGGAGGGAGATAATCAATAACATTAAGCGCCATAAGGTTGAGAAGAACTTGGCTGCTGTGGCTGCTCAGAAATTAGGACACTCAGAGTCATCTGCCCCCCCTGCCGAAACCAACCGTCCGTCACGATTAGCCACCTTCTTCGGGGTTAATCAGCAGCTCCGCTCTATTAAGGACATGTCACCGAGTATTCCTGTTTGCTCCACCGCGCAAGAAGCGGCAGAGAAATCAGGCGGCGCGGGGGTGCAGGGTGGAGCGGCGTGCCACCATAAACTCTGCCCGCCCCCCCCCCCTTCGGATGGTTCCGCCCCTGACGGCGCGTCAGCGTCTGGCTCAGAGAGAAAAGCGGCGGCTGTGTCCGAATTAAAGCACCAGGGTCACACACCGGTAAGGGACAGGGACAGAGTCCAAGAACTTGAAAGAAAATTACAGAAGTTGAGCTACAGAACAGAACTCTGCATTTACAATTACAAGAAAAGGAAGCGCTGCCGGCAGCCCCCCCACACCCACACCCACTCCCGTCACCCTTACCAGAACCAGCTCCGCTTTTAGCTCAGCCCCGATGGAGTGGGGTGATTCGGGGTGCCTTGTTAGAAGGGGACTGGCATGCTGCTGGGGCGTTGGCCTGCCCGGTAGTGACAACGGATGGGGAACACCTGGGAACTCAAAATCACAAGATTCTCCTCGGGGGGTCTGGAGACTCCTTACGAACTTTAGAACTCTGATCTGTCATTGTATGTTGTTCAGCATCAACACTGGTATCAAAAACTTGTTCATATACTATCAGATTCATTGTATGTTGTGGGTTCATTGCAATGTTTAGAACATACTATGGTGAAACCTGTATGACATTCTGTATTGCATACTCTGTTGTTACAATTGCGGACACTTTTAAAACTGTAAGGATGGTTTTCTTGCTACATAAAAATGCATAAGATTGGAACATGGACTGACAGACTGGTTATGAGACTTGGGAATTTGGAAAATGGACTGACGATGGTTACAAATCTACAAAACTTGGAAATTAGTGGGTGGCTGAAAGCTTTGTTGATGCATAGACTGGCAATGCTGATTGTCATTATGATTGTCATGATGGCATTGGGGTCTGTGTGGAAATGCTTTATGAATGCTATGATTCAAATGTTAAAAGGAGTCTGGATTGTCCAAAAAAGAAAAAGGGGGAAAACCAGGTAGGAATTTTGGGGGGGGGGATCAGGGTTGTGCACTGATCCTACAGGGTTTGGACAGTCCAGGCTGGGTCTCTGATCAGAAAACTGCCAGGTGGTAATCCTGCCCTTGGGGTCACCTGGAAGGGCAAGAAGGAGGAAGTCAATCTAGTGCTTCCTCCCTGTTTGAATGCCTGGATACACTAACCACAAAGTAGATTTAGTTTGTTCACGCGTGCTAACGATGCAGACCTATCACAGCACTTCCGGGTGCGTGATAAGTGCCTTTAGCCAATAGATTGTAAGCCTGCATGCCTAAGTTGTGCCTTGTCATGTATAAAGACAATCTTTGAATGAATGTTAGCGCAGGCTCTGCTCATACAAAAAGAAAAAGGGGGAATTGTTGGAGAATGGCTCAGAGACAAGGGTCCTGAGCCCACCGAGCAATTGTATGATCAGAGCCTGCTCTAGCTGCTGATGCTGAGCCTCACTAGGGTTTGCCTGCAGCTGCTCGCAGCTGCTGATACATGAGGAATGTCAAGGACGCTTCGGCCCTGTGTACCGTGGTGTGTCGAAAACAGGTTAAGGGGAATTAGGAATAGTGGTCTGAGAAACCTAGTGTTATGATAACGGTGGTCTGAGAAACATTGTGTTATGGTACTGTTGTGTATCGAAAACAAGTCAAGAGGAATTAGAAATAGTAGCATGAGAAACTTAGTGTTATGAGAAACTTGTGCTGTAAGCTAACTGCAAGTAGGTGGACCGTGCGAATACGACCCTTAGAGCTTTAAGCCAATCAGTTAGTGACTAGTAGGCATAATTAGTAGAAGGATTATAAAAAGCTGTAACAAAAATCAATAAACTGAAGCATGCTTTATCACTCATATTGAGTCGGCTGCGTTCTTCCTCCTTGGCCTGCGTCCTCGGCTCGCCCAGCCCAGCAGGAGCTTTGGTTATCGTAACATATGACAGGCACGTTAGGCAGAAGGATTCCCTCGCGTCCCCGGCCCAATAAAGTAACGCCCACGCGTTAATGCTAAACCCGGCTTTAAGGAGGTTTTGTTCCCGATTTCAGCAGAGAATTGTGGCGACCCAGATAGGATGCTGCCTCTGAAGCTCCATGAGCCCATGGCATCATGAGGACTCTGGCGCCGCCTGAGCGTGTTTCAGGGAGACCCTCTGATCCCCTGATCTGATGAGTTTGGAGTAAGAGCCCTGTTGGGGTTTTTTTTGTTTGGTTGGTTTTTTTTTGGGGGGGTGTGTGTTTGTTTTTTTTGTTTTTTGTTTTTTTTTAAGGCATTACCAAAGCTAACACAGATTGGAAAAGCCTGTCTGTAAGACTGGATGCAAGAAATTCCCACAGGACTCAGCTACTAAGGGAAAGCCAGGAAGGAAGGTGAAATTACACGTTTTTACTGCGATGCCCAGAGTGTCGGAAGAAAGCCTTGATCACACATAAGGTACAAGCTAGGATATCACAGGGTATTGGCCAATGTACATTTCTAACTTCTATCTTGTAGGACACTCTTGTTTGTTCTGTTTGGCAGTGTCATAGTTTTGTCTACATAATTGTTTATTCTGTTTAATGTGGGTTCCGATCGGTCTAACCCGTCAGAGAGCGGTCTTTTCAAGAAGTCACCTCTGGAATGTATATTAAAATATTGGACAGATGTGGGAAGTGAACCCCTTAATGGGAAACAATTAATTGACTACTGTGATCGTTGCTGACCATTGTATATTTGTGAAGACCGAGACGGGGCCAGGGGCAACCGAAGCAGCAGCACTCTGGACAGCCTACCATCCAGAAACAGGCTCCCCCTTGGAAACTTCTCTCCGGCATCTGCTCTGGACACAGCTCTACACGGCAAAGGAGCAGAGATCACCACTCTCTTTCCCTCCTCCTTCGTGGTCCCGTGCGGTCCTGTCATGCTGGTAATTCTGCCTTTCTCTTCAGAGCAAAAGCTAAACGTTTTGTATTATTTTGTTTTATTTTTTCTAAAGAAGTTGCGAAAGGAAGCATAAAGTCTATTGCAGTACTGTGGACCAATGCTACCAGCAGTAATGAGCTATAATTAATAGGCCTGGTGATGACCCTTATTAGCATTACTGTCAGTATAAGTGCTTAAAACTCAAAAGAAGCTTTTTACTGTTATAAATGAATGAAGCCAATCTTTATAAAAAGTAGATATTTTTATTTGGGTTCAATCAATTTAGGGTGAGAAACAATAGGCAAAGCAGCACTGGGTGCACAGAGAGCCTCAGCTCTGCCACAACGCACACCGAGTTCTAAAAGCAGTGTCTCTTATACTCTTTCCATCAGATAGTCGTCCTGCTCTTCTTCCATTGGGTCCTTTGAATAGCTGGGATAGTGTCCTCCTCGCAGTGGATCTTTTGGAAGTTGGAAAGTTTCCACCTCTTGGCACGCTTTCCTCTCATCGGGTCCTTTAGAAGTCTCAGGGTCTCAGCTTTCGGCAGGCTTTTTCTAAACAGCTATTTCATCAGCTCTAGGGGGGCGGTGTTTAAGGAGTGTTTCTAAAAGGCAGCAGGTTTACAGTGTTTCAAGTTAAAGGTTTTTTTTATTTTTAATTTATTCTTACACATTCTCAATTTGATTCCAACATTCACTACAATTACTGTGTATGTCATGGTGATCACAACTCACCCCAGATCCACACAGGGTGCAACAATTACACTTATCATACCACACGCCTATGTTTTCCACATTACTAAAAAAAACAAACCCCAATCCAACCACAAAAGGCCATTAACTAATGCAAAATTCATGGGACGAAAAAAAAACGAAAAACCAAATACATATGTATATGAACACACAGCTGAACACTTGTTTGTGTTACCTTACTATTTAAAAAGGCTACAAAGATGACTTGGAAAAAAAAGAAATATAGGAACAGATGCCAAGTTACATTCTGGGAAAGCAATAATAACAGTAAGAAAGAGGTGCGCAAGATCCACTCAAACAAAAATGTTTAAATCCTCATCTGTGCCTGCTTAACATTTGGAAAGTTAGGACTACCTGCCTATAAGGACACAGCAAGATGTTGCTCTCTTCTAATGTGATAAACAAGCTGAAGTGAAGGAATATAATATTTCTCCATTCCAAAAAATTCAGCTGCAAGAATCTTACCTGATATTAAAAGCAGTAAGTCACTTAGCTACAAAGAAGAGAAAAATACAAAGAAAAATACTGAAATATATTGCAAATAATTATTTAAAGTTGCAAGGATCGGGGAAAAGGACGTTGCAAGCGCACCCGTGTCCCGTGAGCTCCATCCATCAACGGGCACCGGGGTCGGGCACAAGGCAGTGGCACCGCATCCGTGTCCCCGCTGCCCAACCCCACTCTCCCTGCAGAAACACAGCCGCCCCCCCTGTCACGCAAGACACCGTGGGTTCAGCACCGAGACATCCATATGGGTGTTTTTCTGATCCAAGACCAGCCTAGGTGGTGCTTGAAGTGATTTATTTTATCGCTCTCAGGGATATTCATGGCCATAAATTCTCACCGCGGCCTTCTTGTCTCTTTTGTCATCTTAAACATCCTTGGCTGGGCTCAGTGTGCAGCAAGGTCCTGCAAAATGCAGTGCCGTTTCAGGCTGCCTGGAGCTATACCGTGGCTGCTGACCGGTGGAAGGGGACAGGACCCAGCTGAGAGCAGCCACCCTCGGCCTCTGCCTCCCTGTCTCATCGAGCAGAGCCCAGCAAAGCTGGACATAAGTCATGAAACAAGCGCTGTCGTGCTCTGCATCACTCCTTGCAATCCCCTTCACCATTGCTCCAACAGGTAGCCAACTCCGGCTTTTCCACACAAGGTTTATGTTTAAAGCTTGAGAGTTTTAATATTCTTATTTTATGAAATCTCTCATTGGTGAACATCTCTAAAACTCTGATCCACCATGTATCACATTTGTTTGGTTTACGAAGCAAATCTTCAGAGCGTTTTTGAAGCTCTTAAGGTTTTATCCTGTTGTATAAAAAAGCTCTTTACAGACATACTACTCTAGAAGATGACACTTTTTTTGAGAATCATTATTTCTACATTTCCAAGATGGTATGTGACACATTGGCTCTGTCTTAGCCTGATTCTACTAGCCCCAGGGGAATCCAACGTGCACAAAGCAGGCATGAAACACACAACATAAAATACCGTTGGCTCCCAGTAAATAGCTCATGTGTCTCATTTTGTAATTCTCCCCATACGTGTTGAATTTCCCTTCGAACAGATGCGAGCTCTCTGGCCAGGCCAGGAGCTGCAGAGGGCCTGGGAGCTGGCCTCAAGCCGACCTGTGCCAGGCCGGCCGAGGCACCGCACCCTCTGCAGGCACCAGCCAAGTCAAAGAGACGGGGTCTTACCTTTTTGAGAGGAAAAAACTCTACCACAACATTTTTTTAAAAAAAAAGCTGTCATTATGACTAAAAAGATTCGCTGTTTTGTTTTTAAACTGCAAAGTCAAACAACTGATAACATTCCATTATCTTTGCTGAGATTACTGGCATCCCCAAACGTGCTATACTACTCTTACTTTATACCTTATATGCTTTATATCTAATAGGAAGTATACCTTTAGTAAAATTATGGCTTTTTTATTCTTGTTATGCTTAGCCGCACCCTTCCATTTTAAAATTTCTTCTTCTTCATCTATATTCCAGGAAATAGTTATTCAAACACATAAAGATGTTCAAAGTTTGGACTTCTGATTCGCTACAGATTGATATTCTCTAATCTATTTGGCACTGATCTCCTAACAAATCTGCAAAGAAAACAAATGTGTAGAGAAGAGAAAAATGTAGACAGGAAAAATCTGTGCCTGTAATAGGGAAAAAAGACACCTACTAAGTTAGTCGTCCTGCATAATCTGTGTTTTAGCACTTCCATACAATTTAAAATACAGTTTTAGAGCAGGGACATCATTTTCATCCAGGGAGACACAGTTTGAGAAATGACTTCTGATTCTGTGAGGAAAAACTCCTACTTATAATTTACTTAACTGATTGTATTTGCATATCTAGATGCAAATACATTAGGGCTATTAACTTTATTTTTCATCACAGCTTTTTTCTGTTGCTGTTTGATATTTGGGAGAGCACTCCTGGGAGAGGAAAGAGCACCAAGCTCGGGTGTGCTGCTGTGATATTAGGTAATCAGAAGTTCTGGGATGGAGAGGAAGACTTTCAAATACAGTAATAAAACCGCTTCGTCCTCGTAGCGACAACAGTCTCTTGAGGAATGACTGACGTAGGGGACTTAGCTGTGCGATTCAGCCTTCTTCACTGACAAAACAAAACAACTCGCTGATTCTGAATGTCTATGAGGCGAAGGTCATTCCAAGCCTTAGACTTAACGCCCAGCCACATTTATCAAAACTGCAGTGTTTTGAGGAACACAGGCAGGATTTTTTTCACCCTGCATGAATACAGCACTTCAGAGAGCTCCTCAGGCACTTCCAAATACTTAAGAAATGCTGCATAATATCATATAGATGTTTTGGAAGTCCCGGCATAGGTCTCCAAAGCTGCATTCTGTGATTTTAGACCATCATCATCAAAGAGCGATTCTCTCGTTACTATATTAAATAATAGCAGTTCTGCCTTAGATACATTTCTCTCTGTATTGATCCTAGAATGCTTTTTTTTAAAAGACACCTGCATTATGCTTTGGGTTTTTTTCTTCTTTTTTTTTTTTTTTTTTTCTGTCTAGGCTTTCAAAGCAAACAAGAGAGTTCATTTTTTCCATTACCTCTGACTGCTTGCGAGTTGCTTTTCTTGGAGTATTTCACAAAGCCTACAGATATTGCTCTCCAAACCATACTGTCAAGGCTAAAAACAAGAAAACACCAAGAGAGGCAGTGGAGATCTCGAGACACTGGTCTGAACTCTTTCACATCGCAGGAAATAGATTTAGTTTTTCCATATTCCTACCCTTTCTTTGAATTGATGGAAAGAAAATTAAAATCTTCTACAATAAAACTGAAGTACAAGAGCGGCTATGAACATTTTGTCTGATAAGTCATCCCATGGCTTAGATGGTATGATAAAAGAATGCTCAACTAGAATTAAATATGGCATACGGATGTTCGGAACAGCTGGGATGAACTCAGGTTTAGGCAGAGCTTTCATTCATTTGATTATATAGAAACCACTATCAGGTGCTGGGATCGGTGTAACTGAACTGGCTGCATATGCTCACAACTCTTCCTGGATCATGGGAAACTTTTTTCAGTAAGTGCTTTCCCTCATCTGTCCATTATTAGTAGAAAGGTGTGACCGAAAGGAGAAAGTTAGAGAAAATTACAGAAAATTACAAAGCAAAATCCAAAACCAGATTATCTGTTCCTCTCAGCCCTACTGAACTGCTGGAAAACTTCTGCCATTGAAGTAGGAAGTTTCAAGACAAACTCAGAACATTCAACGGTAACAACTCCAAATAGCTCTAGCACACTTAGTAAAATTAGGTTACTCAAAAAAAAAGTACGTGGTATGAAGTTCCTTGAAAACTCAGCAAATCGCAGTGAGCCCATACTGCAGCATATGCTGCCTTCCCCCTTTTTCACCCAAAATATGGGAAGAGGAATGGTTCTCTATAACATCAGTAGAAACCACCGTGAAAGACACTCCAGGAGAGTTAAACCTGATTTAGCGTTTTAATCTCAGAAATCAATAGTCTTATTTGCTAGTAATATTACAGAAAATTACTACTTTGCCCAAACAAGCATCCATAAACTTTTTTCTACTGGAAAACTAGAAACTTTTGCCTGATTTCCTGCAGGGGAGATGAGAGTTGTGGAGGTCTTCCAGAGGCAGAGGATGGCTCCCAGTATTTCACCAAACGCATCCGCAAAGCCACATGCAAACACAGACACACAGGCCCGCTACGCAAAAGATGGAGAGGTAGGATCTGCTCTGCCCCGTCAGACACTGGTGCAGTACCCACCATCTCCCGTCTAAAGCCATCAGAAAACAAGAATAACTACGTGAACCACTGGAAACAAGACCCCATTCAGTCTCACACCTGACCTCAGCTTCAAAATCAATTTTTCATCAATACTTAATAGAGGAACAAACACTGCAGCCTCCAGGTTCTCATTATTTTAAAGTGTTTCAGAGCGCTTAATAAATAAAAATCCTAGCAGTTCAAGTGGGGAAGACTCTTCCTACTACTTCTTCTTTCCTGCCTTCCATCAGTGAGGTGCTGCTGTGTGAACATAACACCTGGAGAATCAGCTCCAGCTGTAGTTTAACTAAAAGTATTTGCAACTTTTAATAAATATCTATAGGATGGAATGACGCCACCTGCTAATTTCTTATCCAATATATCTTTCCCTCCAGCTTCTCATAGATTGCTATTGTTAAAGAGGTCCACATCTCTGCAGTTCTCAAAAGTAAATCTAACACTCATGCTGACAGTGTAAATTAAGGTCTAAAAAAAAATACCAGTGAGAGAGAGGGAAGGGTTTCAGGGAGAAGTGCCAGAGAAATAACCAAATCACCGACTTACATAATACAGATATAAGACACATGTAGCAACTCATCTATATTCACCCTGAGCAGAATTACAGGACAATGGGAGATTCGGTTAGAATAAAAAGCAATCGCACCAGATCCTCAACCATATGATTTCAACAGATCGAAAAATGTATATACGTATATATATATTTACACAGAATAATTACCAGCTAAATGGACCAAGCAGAAATTTCCTGTACAGTTATTATGTATCATTACGTTATCATTACATATCTTTTCAGTAGAGTCAAGACGCATTGTATTTTCCTCTGAATTACGTAGTCCTGACCCCTCTGGAGACCAGGGTGTTGCACTGGGATGCACTGCCTCTCGTCATGTGGAACCACAGCTTTTATGTTACCGAAGTAGGACACACAGCTCGGAGGTGCGGTGATAAGATGTGGGTGTAAAAATGTAAATACCGGTGTTTTAAAGCTAACGCATATCTTATTGTGAACTGAGCCAGAAACTTTTAATTACCGCAGCTTTTCTTATATTTAGTGTATTTAAGTAAAATCATAGCCCATTTCAGAAATGTATCTGCACTAAAAATGTTGACCAAAGAGTATGTCAAGTTTCCTATTCACATCTGTTGCAACAAATGCCTCCCACCAAGACATCTCTTATGTATATGACAGCAGTTATTTATGTGCAAAATTAAACTGATAACAAGGAAATTGTACATTTACACTTTCAGTAATATTTTTCATCATTCTTTGTTCTTTTCGCAATTTAACTGTTCACATGTCTGTTTCTTCCTATCTCAGAATTTCTGACTGTAAAATCTTCATGTTAAGATTTGTTTCTAAGAAAACAGTGTACTTCGCTTCCCAGAACCTGAAATTTGGGCACAACTCAGCTGTGATTTCCAAGCCTGCCTGAAGGCCATCTTATCTCATTATTCTACCTGAAACTAAGT